ACACTACATCAAAATGATGTTATCGAAAGGAGAATTGATCGATTATGAACATGGAAAGAAGCGTGTTAAAAAGGAAGAACTTGCCAAAGGAATTATGGGGAGAAGTTGTGTCCACAACTACATATTTGTTTAATAGGTATCCAACAAAGAAGCTTGAGAAGATAACACCAGAGGAAGCATGGTCTGGATTTAAACTGAATATGAGTCACTTGAGAGTTTTCGGTTTAGTGACATGTTGACATGAGTCGGGACAGCTTATAAAGAAGCTAGATGATAAGGGAGAATTAATGATTCTTGTAGGGTATCACTCCACCAGTGGTTACAAGTTGTATGATGCAGCAAACGTAAGGATTGTGATTAGTTGATACGTCGTTTTTTATGAAATTAAAGAGTTGCAGGAGAGTGAAACCGGTTACACTAGTGAAAAATTAGTTTCTGTAGTGCTGAAAATTGCAGAACCAACCCCTATTAAAACCCGAATTGAAGAGAATGTGATTAGATTAACAAGGCAAAGAGTTTTACCTTCAAGACTCCAATATTGTGAGTTGTTCTAAGATAATAAAGTCAATGACGATGGTGATTTTGTCTATTTTGCACTTATGGTCGAATCTGAGTCCATTAAACCGGATGAGGCTTTAAATGATCCGAAATGGATTTATACTATAAAGGAGGAGCTGAAATCGATTGAGAAGAACAAGAGGATAAATGGTTTCTTAAAGGAGATCGGCTCAAGAAGTATGTATCCGAACATGGTGGTGTATAGGGGTGGACAACGGCCGGTGCTAAACGGTTCCGGATCAAAAGTTGTCCACTGAACAAATCCGACGGATTTAAAATTACAATCCAATTTCGTCCATTTACAGTTTCGATTTTGGCGGGTATGAATTCTCTCGGATGTCGGTTTTACCGGTTGGGTTCACCGGGTGACATTCACAAACACAGAACAAAAAAAACTTTAATCTCAAAAGAAAGAAGAAGAAGTCATGGATGAACCTAAATCTAAATAAATCTAAACAAAATCAACCCAGATATTATCTAAAACAAACAACACAAAAACTATCCTTTTGAACCTTTGATTAAACATATCATATATGATTTATTAAAAATAGATATAGAATCTGAGTAAAAAATAATTAAAATGGTTCTTCTTTGTTGGTAACATATCTTTCATGAACAAATATGGAAAATAGGTATCATAATATATAAGAAAATAAAAACACATTAGACAAGTGACAGTGGTGTGGAAGATCTATGATAGAGAAATAAGAGAGATGAAGGAGGAAAATGGCAATAAGAGAAATGAAGGATGAAGAGAGATGAAGAAGGAAAATGACAATAAGAGAAATGAAGGATGAAGAGAGTTAGTATGTAAATGAAAGATGGGACTTGACAAGTAGTGTTAAATTTTTTTTTTGCAATGAACAGTCTATAAAGTAATTTATTATGTGTTGTTGTGTGTACTTGATTATGAGTAATGCAAAAACTTTATTATTTCTCAGTCAGTAATGGTTTTAGTTGGATCATAGATTTTAATCTGATTCCGTCCATGTAAACCCACTGATAACTGAAAATTGTGGTTTGTGGACCCGTAAGCCCATTTCAAATTGAACCGCTCTCACATGTTTTACCGGTTAAAACGGATTTCGGTCGGTTAGGGATTTTCTAGTAGTGTATGTGAATAAAAGGATATAAATGAAGGGGAAATAATCATTTGTCTATACGTAGACGATTTATTGATTATGGGTAGCGATGAAAAGTGCATTTCTAAGTACAAGAATGAACTTATAAAGGTGTTTGAGATGACCAACCTTGACCTCATTTCATACTTCCTTAGAGTAGAGTTTTAAAAGTCTAAGAGGGTATTATTCATGCACCAAAGAAGGTATGCACTTGAGATTTTGAAGAAGTTTGAAATGGAGCACTGCAATGCTACCATTACTCCAACTAAACTGAGGCTACAGTTGTCGAAGAATGAAGATGAGCAAGAGGTCAATCCAACTCAGTATACAAGGTTGATTGGATCCTTGCATCATTTGTGCAATACGCCGCCGAATTTGGCGTTTAGTGTCGATATTATGAGTAGATTCATAGAGAAACCAAAGGTTGTCTCACTTGGTAGCACTCAGGAGGATTCTAAGATACGTCAAAGGATCTATTGACTGCGGAATTTTCTTTCCTACAATGAAAAAAGGCAAAAAAAAATGCAATTTGCTTGGTTTTACCGATTCCAATTGGTGCAGAGATAAAGATGATTGAAAGTCTATAGCGGGATCCATACTTATGTTCGGCAAAACACCAATCTCGGGGTGTTCAAAGAAGGAAAGGGTAGTAACACTCTCTTCTTGTGAGATTGAGTACATTGTTACTTCTTTGTGTGTGGGACAAGTCGTGTGCTTGATGAATTTGTTGAAAAAGCTAGGCAGCTTAGAGAATGGTATTGTAATCCTCATGATTAATAATGTTTCCACTATAAACCTTGTTAAGCCCAATTTCACATGGGAAGAGCAAGTATATTAAGATGAGATTTTACTACTTTAGAAAATTTATTAGTGAAGGTTGAGATTGGGATAATGTAGAAGTGAAGACCAAATGGCCTATTTGTTGACCAAGATATTGAAAAAGTTAATGAGAATAGAAGACTTAAAAGACTTGAATTAAAGTGATAGGTTAAGAATATAAAATAATTCAAGTCAATGCAACAAGTTGCAGTTTTATATAAATAAGTTGCAGATCATATTACATAAAATTTCCCCATCATTCATTTATAATAATTTATGTCATCATATAGATTGATTGATAAGGTGGTAGATGAGATTTTGTCATGTTATATGTCAATGTCAACAGTGGCTTCAATATTAATTTAAGAAATAGTATTATAAAATTGAAATCTAAAGATAAATAAGTGTTTTAAGAACTCAAAAATAATTATCAAGATATGTTGGTTGAAATATTTTATATTTAAATATTATTTAATTATTATATTCAAATTAATTAAGTGATCAAATAAAATAAAAAAGTCTAACTAAATTTTTATTTAATAATTAATAAATTAATTGAATATTAACTCAATCTAGGATGGTATATTTTAAATTAACAGGTAGCCGATTTGACCATTTCAAAAAAATCAACTGCGGCAAATTGAACAATACTAAAAAGTCTCGGCAGTTTAATTTTTAGATTTGGATCATATTCCGTTCAATTTCTATCCTAGTTTTCCGAGCAAGTTGAGCTTAAATGATAGGTCAAATAGTTCAAACAAAATTTGCAGAAAAGCTTACGAAAAAAAAGGCACCACTCAAACAAGGTCTAAGGACAAATACAAAAAAATAAACAAAAATAAACATTCCAAAGAAAAGGGAAAATATTCCATGTTCTCTTGCACTTCGAAGCTCTTTCTTGGCAAATTTTGGACATCCTTGTTAGCATGGCTCTTGTTCCCCCATACATCAAAATTAAAATTAAAAAAAACCAACCAATAGTAAGACAATTTAACATGCATTATACTACATTATATTATTTCCAATATTATAAGTTAAACAAAAGGGACAATATTTCATTGGGAGACTGATGCTCTTAATCTTTCTGAATTGCAGTTAACTGGCAATCCTATCAGAATCCATTACTCCCACATATTGAAACGATTTCTTTGGAAATAATTATATAGCTTGTAAAACAGTAACAATATTCATTAATTGGTTATATATAACTCCAAAATTTAACCAGTCTATAATATTTAGCCTTTTCTAGGTAATAATTATATGAGTTATAAAACTGCAATATCAATATTCAACAATCTTTTATATATAACTCCAAAATGATACCAATCAATACTTATTAGCCGTTCCTAGATAAACAAGGTCATACCAAAGTAGGCTTTAGAGATTTTAGAGGACATAAGACTATGAAAGTGAAAAGCTTGGATAATAACTAGTCGCATCATACATAATTTATCCTACGCATGAAAACACCTTGTTTGTCTGAAAATAAATTGTGAACAAACACCTTGTTTGTCTGAAAATAAATTGTGTACATGCTTAGCAGAATACGCATGAAACCATATTATTGCCAACAAAACTATTGTGTTAGAATATATGATTGCTCATTAAACATTATTTGGTTTCCCATTTTATCTCCCATATAGAACTTCTAGAAGCATATCATATTGAGGCTTAAATAAGTTTAGTCTCTACAACTATGAGACATTTTAAGAATAATCCCTATATTCTTGCAACATTGATCTCTGTTTGGGCAACTAATATGCCTTAGAAATAAATATTTAGGGGACTAAAATGCATATCTTTCAAATAGGGACAAAACTTGAAAAGTCCAAATTTAATAGGAACCAATTCTCCAATGCTAACACACAAAATTGAATGTGTATGTCAGGATAAAGGTCAGTAGTCCAACCATTTCTAATTTCAATATATGATTGCTAACAATCAAACCAACCCTTGGAAAGAAAGACTTCAGGAACCTGTTGAAACTAATTGAGAGCTATCATAGGATCCAGCTAACTGAACATATAACTAAATCATGGTATTTGTAACCTGAAAAAGGTTGTATCAACATCTTCAATATAAGCTCACCAAGCATAACTACCGGAAAGATCATGAACAAAATAATCTTTCAAACAAAATTCTAATAAGCGTAACCTAAAATAGTACACATTCACACAACTTTGTGATTCTAACTAAAACTGATATCCATAATCACGACAGTCTAACTTTCAAGCATCTGATTATCACATAAAAGCATAATCTAACTATGATAGTATAGGCTGATGACAGATGGGAAGCTCTAGTTGTTCAGAAAGCTCTAGATGTTGTTCAAAAAGCTCTAGATTGATGTTGTTCTATCTTCGGTTGTCTAAGCAATTGATTAAAACAGACATGCTAGTGGTTCATCTGACTTCTAGAGAGAGCCCACCTGAAGTAAGTGCCTTGTATCTAGAAAATGCTTAAACCTGCATGCAACTTCTACTGTAAAGCTTAGTAATTAAACTATCTTGTGTAAGGATGGTACCTATTACCGCCCCCATATCCTCCCCTACTAGAATAGAGTCCTCCTGTTCCACCAAAACCAGCACTAGGGCCAGATTCATAACCTCCACCATTGCCTGAACCACCATAACTTCCATAGCCCGCTCCACCTCTCCCATATGGGCCTAACCCACTACCACCATATCCACCACCAAGGCCACCCATGTACGACCCATAGCGGCCAGAGTAGCCAAATGATGATTCTCCTCTATAGCCTGCATAACCACCAGCACCACCACTGCCCCCGTAACCTCCAAAACCACCACTGAAATCATCTCCACCTCCATACCCACCATAATCGCTAAGCCTAGCAGTGTAACCTCCAAGTGACCTATAAGATGCAGGGCCATAACCTCCACCGGGAAAACCTCCATAAGAATCACCAAATCCACCAAAACCATCATTGTAAGAACGTGACCTAGAGTCACTACCAAATGGAGGAAAAGAAGCTGAACTTGAGGATTTCTTTGGTTCAGCTTTCTTGATCTCAACCTACAACAAAGAATTGAGTCAACCTAAATTCATTCATAAACAGCCTTTTTTCCTTGGTTTTGGTTGGGCAGAGAAATAATAAACCTGTAGCAAGCCCACTACATAAATAATGGAAAAACACAGAGAGGTATCTCATTATTGAAAGCCAACAGAGAATCCCAATTATCAAATATTTTAATATAGCAACCTTTATCGTAGAAACAGTTTACCACCTCACTAAAATCAGTATTGCTAGTTTCAATTTTAACAACTCCAAAAACACAAACCAAACTCACCTGAGTACCATCCATATCAATCATGTTCCCATCAGCTAACAAAGTATCCACAACCTTATCATTATCAAACACTACAAAGCCAAATCCACGAGATCTTTTAGTGGCGTGGTCACGTATTATCTCGTGCTCCACGACATTTCCATGCTTAGAGAAGAAACTCTTGAGCTCATCTGAAACACACACCAGAGACAATCATAAAATAAGCTCAGTAGCTCACAAAACCAAAAATATCATGAAAAAACACAACACAAACTAACAAATCACAAATACACCACCATTATAATTATTATTACATATTACATAAACAAATCAAAGTGCTGGAAGCAAACCTTCAGATACTGCTGCTGGAATACCACCTACAAAAATCTTCTTAGTTTTGAAGTCACTAGTGTGTGATGCACCCTTTGGAATGGTCCTCTTAATTTCAACCTGGTAATAGCAAATACAAAAAAAAATTACAGTAAACTATTTGCAATTAAACAACAAAACTAGAAAATGCAAGGCGAAACCCTAACTAGGGTTTACCTGCTTATCGTTGATGATGTGGTTCTCCTGAATAACTTGATCAACAACAGAAGGATCCGCATAAGTAATGAACCCAAACCCTCTGGGTCGACCAGTATGTCGATCCTTCATGATAACAGAATCTGTTATCTCTCCATATCTTTCAAAGTATTTCACGAACGTTTCTGCAGAATCAAAATTGTACATTAAATAATAGTGAAATTGAAAAGTAAAATATCTATAAAAAAAAACTGTTCAATATTTCTGACCTAGGGTTGTATCTTTGGCTAACCCTCCTATGAAGATTTTCCTGCATCGATGAGAAAAGTGAGAGGTTAAGAATTAAAGGAGAATGATAAGAGATATCGGTGACGAAGCGAAGTGAATATGTAAGGAAGGGAGATGGGAGCGAACCCGGGACTGGCACCGTCGCCGTATTGAGGATTATCGGTCTTTCTTGACGCCATGGTTGCAGATCGAATATTCTGAGTTTTTGAAGTGAATCTCGTTGCGGATAAAGAAGTTGAGGAAGAAAGCTAGGGTTGGTTATTGGTTATTATAATAACTTGTGAAATGACATCATCGAATTGGGCTTCGAAAAAGGTTTTGGGTTTGGGTCGGTTACAAGCTTACAAATTCAAGGGGGTTATTCTTTAAAAAAATTTAAAGCATCACCTATGTTTCTAATACAACACGCGAAATTCTAAATATGCATTCTATTTTCGGAGATACATTTTTTGACGTACTAAACACATTTTTAACAAAGGTCATTTTGAGCTACACTCTATCATTTGGTATAAATTATTTTGGAGATGTATTTTCTAAATTATTTCGTACTTGCATATTCGAATTCACACTAGAAACAGAATGAGCAAATCTAAAATAAAATTGACATCCATAACATAAAATTATCATTAAAATATGATTTGAACAACAAAATTCAATATTACATTTTAATATCTCGGTGGACGTTTGCACATCTTCCAGATATCTTCGACCGATCTTTGTATTGTTGTTTCTAACTCGAGCAGAATTTTCTCATCGAAATCGAAAAATGTATCCCACATAGCCCTAACATCTGCTTTCGTCTTGAGTTCAAGTTTGGTGAACTAAAGATTCCCTCCATTGTCAGTCGAAGGTGAACAATACTCAAACTTTACAATCTTTCGATTGTCTCTATAAGGTAGGAGATTGTGGATTTCGTCTTTGATATCTTTAAGGGGGTGAAGTCGTTGAGCTTAATTGTTCGTCCAGGTGTAGAGTCGAAGAAGGACACATTTGCGATATACCAATCAATTTTTATTTTTGACATTTGAGGCATTTTGAGTTTGTGTGAAATATAACACTAGAGCACATAAATTTATAAAAGACAAAGATTAATTTGGACCACTAATCAACTGGCACAATAATTATGGAGATATATCTCTAAAAACGCACCATATTATCTTGTTTTTGAGATGCATCTCCGGAACATCTCTTGAACCAGTTTTAAAATATAACACAAATATAACCTTTTTTCCATTGAACAAAAACACATATGTTGTTATGTGGTAGATAAAAAATGCATAAAGACAAAATATGAACAAAAGGTGAATGTATAACACTTCATTTATATAGGAACACAATTACATACAATTATTTATCCGGTTAAACAAGAAATTAAAATAAATTGAAACATGTGTTGATGGCTAAATTTATAGGTGGTACCCCTTTGGAGTTTTGTGCAATCAATTCTTTTTCAATATTGTTCGATCTCTCGAATTCTTGCATTATTTCCATAAAATGACTCGGTCACGTCTCGGCTTTTACGACTGAATGGGTCGTCCACTCCGGTGGTGTGAGTGGTATGGGGCATCCCGGTTTCAAGTAAAATTCAACAAAGTGGCTTGATTTTGAAAGTCGTCCAATACACATGATACGATTATTTAAAATTTGGGGTTGGGCAGTGCGCACTAAGAAAAAGGTTTTCAAAAAATCGTAGTGTCACGTCAATACACACTCTATCATCATATGCACATGTTATTAGGTGACTCATTTTCGGGAAGCTCACCCATTTTGACTTTGGTTTTGGACCGCTTAAGTAAGGAACAAAAGACTCATAAACTACATTGAATTTTTCTTTATTTCCGTACAACCGCGTGTACGATTCTTTATTCGTCTTCAACTTTTGGATAAGTTGATATCGGACAAGTGCATGACTTTCTTCTCCTTTATTGAGTAAAGCCAAAACGGTTTGGTAATCGCAATTACCATCCCCTAAAACATTGACGATGGGCTCGATATATTTGTGCATAAAAACCAGTATCTCGTCGATGAATAGTGTAACACCTGAGGCCGAAGAGGGCGGAAAATGGTTACATGTAACACTTGAGAGCGGAGGAGTGGTTGTCGGTGCACGGGGTATGACAATGAGACACTCCTAACAGTTTCTAGTGAATAATCAAATTCACATTGGAATGAGAGGGATCTTGTGGTTGTGCAGGTATGTGACTGCATGGTTAAAGGAACACTTATAAGGATTAATTGGTACTACCTATACCAACAAGATGAACCTTCTTTTCGGTAGCCCATTCCATAAGAACTTCATAGTTAAGCATGCTTAACTTGGAGCAATTTTGGGATGGGTGACCTTCTGGGAAGTTTCTCGAAAAGCGTGTGAATGAAGACAAAGCATGCTAGAAAGACATGTGTTGGTTTGTGGAATCAGTTAGTAATCTTGAAAGCAGTTTGAGGTGTTACAAATGGTATCAGAGTCAGACATCTCCCAGTACGATGTGGTTTCAGAACGAACCAAGTAGAAGTTGGTGGGCATGTAACACCCGAGGCCGAAGAGAGCAGAGAGTGGTTACATGTAACACTCGAGGGTGAGGGAGTGGTTGTCGGTGCACGAGGCATGACAATGAGACACTCCTAGCAACTTCTAGTGAAAAATAGAATTCACGTCAGAATGAAATGGGTCTTGTGGTTGTGCAGGTATGTGACCGCATGGTTGAATGAAGACTTATAAGGATTAATTTGTACTACCTATACCAACAATATGCATATTATTTTTGGTAGTCCGTTCCATAAGATCTCCATAGTTAAGTGTAATTGACTTTGAGCAATTTTAGGATGGGTGACCTTTTGGAAAGTTTATCGGAAAGCGTGTAAGTAAGGACAAAGCATATTGGAAAGATATGTGTTGGTTTGCGGGGTCAGTCGCTAATCCTGAAAGCAATTTGGGGTGTTAAAAATGGAATCTTCAGTGGAAGCAGTGTCGGAGGTGGTTTGCTAATGTGGGCTCATTTCACAATATATTTTTTTAGATTTTGGAGTCGGTGAGTCGGGAAAAACTTTGTCAATATGTTCAAAATATGAAGGATACCACGTTGTCGAGTTGTCATTTGGTGTAAGCTTCATTTTTTTCGAAGCAACTTTTGTTTTTATCGGTTGAGAAGGCGGTTTCATGTCGGTGGTTTCGGAATAGGCAACGTTCATCAATTGTTCTTTGATGTGGAGTTTCATGTTATCATAGAACTTTGAAATGTCTCTTATATCACTTCTCATTCATCAATTGCATCATTGAACATAAGTCTCTTCCAATGAGAGCAAACCCCGTTCATTCTTATTGGTTCACCAAGTTTCACCTTTTTAACAATAGTACAAGCACCTTGGAGACAATATGTTTTCACAATAGTGTCGCTACTGCGAAAATCGGCGCCGGCTGAACAGAAGAGTCGCTATCGTGCGTTATTTATCCCAACGGAGGGAAAGGAAACGCTCGAAGTAAACCTACCGCAAAGACGGGAAAGGAATGGTCATCGCAACCAAATCCTGGATTCGGGAGTCGGTTACGCAAGGGGAAGGTATTAGCACCCCTCACGTCCGTCGTACTCGACGGGATCCACGCTTGTTTTTTAGTACAGATTGTTATTCTATCTATTCTACAGGTCTGGGGTTAAAAGAAAATAAAATGACTCGGAAAAGTATCGCACTTTATGCCTACGTATTCCCGTCTGGAACAAGAAATCAGAGTCAACGTAGTTCGCCTACCTACGGGAAAGGAAGGGAAACGTAGTTCGGGCTACGGAAGACACAAGTCTGTCTTGATTGTTTTTATCCTTCTGAAAAAGGTTTTCTCGTGATTATGGGTCCAAGCGGACAAAAATGACTCTTTGATTGGTTTATAGTCTTTTACGCAAGAACTGTTTTTATTGATGTCTAACCTTTTATTGTATTTTTTGATTGTTTTTGAGATAGAAGAGAGCGAACTCTAAAACCTAGGATTTGAAAAGGGAATCAAAATCTACCCTAATGTTGTCATGCATGGGTTAACACCTAATGTCTGTCATATTTCTCTCCTGCACAGAGAGAAACAGAGATCCTAGGGGATAAACGGAAAAGCAACAGCATATATACAGTAAAGCAGTAAAATGCATGAATGCAGCAGTACAAGCGAGGCAAGGGAGTCTCACTCAACCTCGAACCTAGAAAACAATGGGCAAAGTGAAACAACTTCACCTCAGCCTAAAGGGAAATTAACAAACAATACAGCAAAGAAAATAAACCCCAAAACCAGCTCTGACAGCACACCCAACTTTGACAGTTGATAAACAGCAATCTCTGACGGTTGATTAACAGCAATCTACCAATAAACCCCAAAGATCCAACTCTAATGATATCCAAGCTACAATAAGCTTCCATCTTCAAGAAATCACCAAGCTCAAGCAAGCACAGAATCTTAACCAGTTGACAGCATCAGACAGCAGATAGCTCCAAACAGCAGTAAACCCTAGCTTTAACAGTTGCACAGCTTTGACATGAACAATCTTCATTTTTGTCAATCTTTGATCTTCATCTCTATCTTCCATGGCTTCTTTCTTCAAGACAAGCTCTCCTAGCTGAGAAATGATTTATCAGGATAAATTGAATATCAAACAGTTCATTGACAACCAAAGGAAGTCTATGAATAGTTGACATTGTAACAGACTGTTTCCCTCAAAGTTCTACCTCTAAGGTAAGGCCACTTATCCCTCTAAAGGAGGGAGGTGAATACCATAGAGGGACTTTATGTCATAGAGAGAGGAATGGAAGCACATAAAGCTATCCATGTTTGCACAAAACAATTCAGTCTATTCTAAGGCTCTGCTTATTCCTATTATTTCATATGTCTTCAATCAGGCATCAACGATCTTCAAACTTCACCATTTGGTCATCATCTTCAATCCTCTCCTTTGATGTACTCATGCTCCACAAGCCCCAAACCAAGCCCACACCCCATAGAAAAGCCCAAGAGCCCACAACAAGCAACATAAACCCCAAATGGGAACACCAAACAATCACACAATTTGCAAAATATACTGAAAATAGTAAAATAGTATTTAAAATTCTAAGACTTATTCTAAGGGGATTTCTATATCTACCCTACATACCCTATATGTCCCATAACCTAATTCATGCTAAAAACCCCAAAATAAAATGTTAGAAT